TAAAGATACTTCCGTATTCAATATTCAGAATATATATTTCAGGTTTTAGTAATTCTATAATATATGACAGAATTAATGGAATTATTTCTTGACTACACCCGGTAACTTGAAGTAGAGATTACTAGATGACAGATGTGCGAAAGCTAATAAGACCACACATAAAGCACCAATTCTTATATCATATCTTCCCTTTCACAGCTTGAGAATAATTGATATTGCATGTTGGACTACCTATATAATCTGTTCAAAGAAAATGTCATATTTTTATACATATTATCCAAATGCGCGCTATATTGATTAATGGTAACCCTTTTGGTCGCCATTATCAATTTTTGTCACCTTTCACAAAATAAACCAGCATATATTTTTTAAATATTTTTTGGACAATTTTGATCAAGATCTGATTAAAAAATATGCCCAAATGAACAAAAATTAACAAAAAGTTGGAATGCATAAAATGTGCAAAAAGATTTCTTCAAAATTTTGGCGGGAAAAATTAAGACATCAAATGGGAAACCTTCAACCTTTCAACTCTCGGCCCATCTGGTTTTGGAATTAAAGTACTAAGTAATTTGTTGAACCAGAGGACTGTAGTTGAATAAAAGGTTTTAGGTAGAGTCCTTGAAGTGAAGTAATTGACACGTTGCACAATAAAGAAAATGATCGATGATCGTGTTTGCTGAGATATTATGTAAGCAGTTTCATTATATGTATGATTATCGTCCAATTAAAGTGATGTTCCAAGCATTGCACCATTGTTACATATACACGTTACAACGCGTGTAGGTCATGTATTATTCGTCATATTCATTAGTAATTATTTAATAATTGAATGATAGATGGGTGAATGTTCAACAAGTAGTATGCATAATTTATTTACCTAAGAGAAATTTTGAGAAATGATGACAACTTTTTACCATAGTAGTAACTAATGGTAAATGGCTCAAAATGATCATTTTCTTGGATGTTTGACTTGAGTTTTATACAAAAAATTCATTTGTTGATCTCATAATTTTTGTCTGCGTTTTGTGAGCAATATCATAGAATAAATGGGAGCGTATTGTAAACGTCAAAAAAAGTTGATCTTTTGTTTTAATGGCAGCCATCTATCAGGGAACAATAATCTGAATGACACATCGTCATAATCATATACTTGACCATTCTAGAAGCTTGTATAATAATAGTTGGTGTAAATGGTAAACTGTAAAGGTTTCAAGATCTACCTTGACGTCATGAACGCATTACGACATTTTGTGCACAGTCAGCTGTGTATGTAAATATCCTGAGTCTCATCAGCTGACTGTAAGTACTTGCAAGGGTGCGAAAAGAAACATTCGGCAACTTGAAGATCAAAATCATGCGGAATCACAGGTGCACATTTTGTAATAATAAACATAGATAGAGTTTGCCGGTGTTTCCGCATCATGAAAACCAACCAATTCCACGAACAGCGCCACCTAGAGTCAATATTGCAACATTTACGTATCATGTACCATACTAACAGGAATTAAGATAGAGATGCAGTTTATTTTGCAAATTTTTACAAATATCACTTTTTATGGCATTGTATTAACATCTGTATTCTGTGAAAATTTGAAATTAAAATCATTAGTAGAACTCTGTTAAATCATATATTAAAATATGCAAATTAGCAATTATCTCAGAACCGAGAAAATAAAATAGCTCCTAGACGCTTTGACCTTTTCTTTTGAAATTTTCACAAATGATTGACAAAGTGTTTCTCTTCAAAACGCCTTTGAGGCATTGTTTTTAGTTGAATAATGTTACAACAATCGTACAGACAACTAGCCTGGATGTTAATTTATGCATAAACGTGAAATCTGAGCTGCTGGCCAGCAAAATTGACAACTGGTAGACAGTTTTCAAGTCGGCACTTTCTTTATAGTAAACAGATGTACCCGTAAACCAATTTTGACAGTAAACAGAGGCATGGCTTAGAAGCTGATTTGTTTTAAAATCACTTTTGACAAAAAAAAAAATTCATAATAAGCTTTTCGAAAATATATAGTTTTGTGGACAAGGGAGGTCATCTTGGTTGCCTAATTAACTAATTAAAATATCTGCCTGGTAAACTGCATCTCTACCTTAAGTGCGTCTATGTGTAGACTATATATGAAGTAATGTTTATGATACTTTTTTTTGTCTTGGCACTATTTGTAATTATAATTCTATTCACAGCATGCAACGATCAAATAACAAACATAACTATTTGGAAATAATTATAATAATTGTTTGAGGAAGTCAACAACTTGAATCACATAAGAACAAACCAACAATCCATGTGTCACTAAATATCAGTTTTGTCGCAGGAAATATTTCCTGGTGTTGAACTATACTGCCCACCGGATTGTTTTATTATGTTTTTTTAATGATAATTCATTTTTGTTTAATCTTGATTCTGATTGTGCACATTTAGCGTCAAGGTCAATGCCAGAGATTTTGCAAATCCGTGCCTAATAGATTTATCATGTAACACAATAGAACTATCACGGCCGGGTTAATCTAACTCCAAAGCCATGCACATACTAAGTAACTGAATAGTAGTGAGTCATTAGTTCAACTTTCGAGAATCTATGAAAAGTCAAATATATACTCTTTGACATTTGTACAGTCAAAGTGGATACATGGTACATTCATACAAACTGTTGCTATATTTAGACTGTGCGTGGTAGGTGTTTGTACATTTTGTAATACATATGCGAACAGTGTATTTATATATGAGTTTGAAGAAGTGATGAAATTATCATATACGACAATAAAATTACCACGGCTGTGCCAGCAGGCCCGTAGTTTGGGGGAGTTCGGGGGGTTCGGTCGAACCCCCTAAATTTTGGAAGTGAATAGATTTATGGTCGTAGATTAGAACATAATAAAACAAACAGTATTAATTAAAATAATTATCATTGTTTAAATCACTTGACTCCGTGAGGTAACCATCAGAGTAATGTAATGAGTAATGCATAGTAATGAGCATTTAGGTGGCAACGAGCTTTAAATGTCAATCGTGAAGTTATGCCGTCTCAGCTCAACAGCAGCTAATTAAAACAGGTTGTTATAAATAGGCAAGCTTTTATTCGTTTTTTCCGCGATGGTGTAATGAAGATCGCGTTCAAGCACCAGATGTTAAATATTAAAACAACATTGAAACAATAATGTAATGGTAGTCACTCTCTGAATGATGTGGTGGTCCTGAATAGGGCAGTTTGTCTTGTGCTAATGTTCGCCCAGTTAGTAAAGTGTGGGGGTCGAACGGGATTGACACGACAACACGACACTGTACTTACCTAGTTTGGTTCATTTAATAGTTTTGTATTCTTCAAGTTAATGATGGCATATATACTGTTTTGTGTATCAGCCAAATGTAGTTAACTTATTGTATTAGTACGTGTAGCCTCTGTTATTGGACAATAGTGTACAGCTACGGGTTGAACATATCATTAAAAAAATGACGAAGATTTATCATCACGAGTTGTATAGGTTGAAGAGCTTCTTGCAGCCAACAATTTACCCCACAGTGTTGCTGCGATGAATCATAAATTGCAAACATATTTTTTACAC